TCCGGTCGCAATAGTGATGGAGGTGTCTTTGCAAACAGTCAAATGGGGGATGCTTTTGCCAAAAAGCAGTTGCATATTCCCGACACAGAATCATTACCTGAGACAGGTACAAAATACCCGTATGTTTTAGTGGGTGACAAATCATTTCAGCTACAGCAAAACCTCATGAAACTGTATCCCAGAGAAGTTCTTGGCATTCGGAAAGAGTTTTTAACTATCGATTATCAGGGACAACACATAAAATTGAAAATACTTTTGGGATTGCAGCAGCAAGATTCCGAGTATTTCATCGCCCAATACATGCAAGAGTCAAAATGGTTGTAAATATTACCAAAGGAATGGTAGCTCTGCATAACTACCTAATGAGTGAAAAAACATTCGGAAGCGCATCTAAGTATTGTCCTGCTGGGTGTATTGATACTGAAGGACCAGGTGGCACACAGTTGGAGGGAGAATGGCGGAGTGTTGTTCAAAGAGATCAAGGACTGAGACACCTAACAAGAGCTGGCTCAAACAACTATTCACAAAGTGTCAAGCTTGTTCGTGAAGATTTCAGCAATTACTTCTTATCAAGTGCTGGACAAGTACCATGGCAGTGGGTTGCCACACATTCTGCTGAGGATGCTTTCGATATTAATAAGCAGAATTGACAGATAAAGTTCAAAGTACCACACTTACAATTATTTGTCAATGTTAAATTTTCAAATTGTAAATTGAAAATTGTAAAATTTTGTAAAAACAATTTTCATATATAATATGAACCATAGTTAAAATTGAACCTTATTATTTACAAAGTTTCAAAAACCTTAAATAAAATATGTAAATAAGTTAACTTAAATAAATTTGTTTGAAATGTCTTCTTTAACACTAACCTTTTAAAAAAATTGACAACTAGTTTACAGCAGTCCTTAACAAAACTACAAACATTTGACTCATGCATCATCATCATCTTCAAATTCAAGTAAAACCTGCATCACCATCATTTTTGCTTTCTTGTTGATTTTTCCTTTCAATTTTTGAAATGTTTTAAGTAAACTAGAGCAAAAAAGAACATAACATCCTCATCCTGACTTTGTTCTGTGTTGTTAGTTTCTTCTTTCTTATCATTCCTCAAGTCATTTGAGAGGCT